GATTAACGTTTCACTTTACATTCTTATCATCCATTAATCAGCCTACTTTGCTAAGTCGTACAGGGGGAACAGTCCTGCTCAGTTTTCTATGCAATGGAAGAAGATCTTTGATTGTTGCAACATCTGTGCAATAATAAAAATGTCATAAGTTAATGTTAAACGTCTACATCACGCAGTCTCTGCACCTGTATGCAGTTTAACATGACTTTATAACTTAAAGAACTTGTTAAATTACTGAATTATTTACGTGTAAATTCTGCCCCCTTTCATGTAAAACACCTAAGTTATGCACTACTTAAAATGACATACACTCTACATAAAGTTATTCACTCTCTATGTATTATTACTTTAGTACTTCTTAAAATGATATCCAGTATAATTTGTGTCCCTTCCTTCATTACATGATTGGCATCAGGCTCTGACAGTAAAGTGCTGCTCAGGTAAAGTCATCAAACAGACACATTCAACAATGAAGGCGGAGTTTTAGGTATCAACACTGTTTAATGAGGCGATCACAGCAGACCGAGGGTCACCACCACTCACTCCTACACTGATACTTAACCAGAAATATTTAAGGTCACAAACTTACCTTCATGGTCAGATTTCTGTGTGAGTTAGTATCTGCTGATGTAGATCTGAAAGGAAAGGATTACTGTGAGGATCACCTCATTCAATCATTGAAATCTAATCTGCCTTTAACGCATTTACAGCAATGTCTGCTTAAAATATCTTGAAAGTTTCATACACTCTATTTGGCAGTAATATTAAAGCACTGCTACGTTACTACCTGTGTGAAGTCACCTGCAGTTGGAGCTGAACACGCTTCAGAGACACCCCACGGCTGTTCTCCCTCAGTGTGTCAGAGTCTCCCAGAGTCCCTGCTTATATCTGCAGGAGGCCAGACACATCAGAGTCACGCCACTCTTTACACGGTCAAAAGTTACACGCGTCAAGTTTTCCCAAAAAAACACAACCAGGATGTTCTCAGGCTAACATCCTAAATAT